TTACTGCTATACTTTTCTACACTTTTAGATCTTATGCTAGCTATAAAGGCTGCAGCCTATAGTATAGTCTTTAACAACTCTATTTAGCTTAGCTTTAGTGCTGCTTTAGCTATTAACTACATAAGCAATGCTGCAGGTGGCAGAGTGTTTAGAGAAGATAGATAGTTATCTCTAATCTTCTTTTCTTAATAGTAGCCTAGTAGGTCTACTTTATTAAAATTTAATGTATTATCTATAGTGTTATCTTTATAAAATAACTCTGTCTCTAGCTAATAACTAAGTGTTAGAAGCTTAATTATTTTAATATATATAGTAATTTTTTTTACTATGTTATACATAAAGTTATCTATTAGGTCTTTAGGCTTACTACTAAAGATTAAGTGTTTATTAAAAATAACATTATGTGTATAGATTACTTTTACTAGCAGTAGTATCTATACATAGTAAATGTTTAATAATTAGTACCTAACTAGATATCTAATCTACGCCTTTAGGTCTAGCCTCTGTAGCCTAGATTTATTCTAATGTGTGTTATTAGTTATTATAAATGCTTTACAGCTATAGGCTTTTAAATGTGTAAGGCTTAGCTTTTAAATTAACATAATAACTTTATTATTTAGAGCTACTTGTGTAAAGAAGATCTTGTATAGTGTCTTTTAGTTGTTTGCATAGTTTAGCGTCTAATTGTATAGGTATACGCTGGCTCTAGTAATGTATAGCTATATATTCTATAGTAGGTTAGCATCTAGTTGCATAGCCTGTAACTTCTTCTTATTTACACCTTCTAAGCGTTTAGCTTCTCTGTTCTAGGCTTGTGTATCTAGTGCTAAAGGCTTAATAGTTATTCTATGCAATGCTAGCTAGTGTTCTACCTCTAGTTTTACTATTATAATCTTATTATTAGCTTTAATAACTTTTATAGTAATGTTATAATAGTTCTTTAAAAAGAGGATAAAGATTATAAAAGCTTTAATAATTAATTTAGTAGGCTTATTATTCTTAAAGTAGAGGTCTTACTAGAGGCTAGAATACTTATTAGTAATTAGCATTTAACTCTACTCTTTTATAATGCTCTATGCTTTATATGCATAGAAATTAATTAACAGTCTTTTACTAGGTCTACTATTACTAATTTATAGTGTGCAGCTAATTTATTATTATATCTTAGCTTTACTATATAAGTTACATTAGACTGTTGTAATTTCTTTAATTTGCACTCTTTTAGCTTACTATATAAGGTGTTAAAGTGTAGCTAGTCTAAGGTGTCCTAGACGCTTATGCTATAGCTCTACTAATGCCTTTTATAGACTATGTTTAGTTCTTGTGTTAATTATATGTGTATAATATAAGCCCTTTTATAGTAGATAGTACTCTAACACCTATTAGCTATAGATCTCTGTAAAATCTTTAATTATTATCCTGTCTAGGGCCTTTAAAGCAGTTAGCTCTGCTTATATGTCCTACTAGATTCCTTTTTATTGCAGTAGGTAGAACAAGACTAGGTTGCACAGCAGGTCTAGGCACAGTGTAGCATTATGTAGTATAAGACTATATGCTTAACTATATGTTCTATACTTACTTTTTAAGCTTAGTGTAATTAATTTATAGCTTTAAATCTATATATAAAAGTTTCTAGACTAGATAAAGTCTTTTAGTGTTAGTAAATAATAGTTATAAATCTAATTAAGATTATTTATAATATAGCATGTTAAGCTTAAGTTAAGGATAAATAATTCTCTTAGCAGATATCTATTCTAGTTTAAATTAACTATAGCTAGCAATGTAGCTGCCTTAATTTTTAATACTTTCTAGCTTTTAAGTTAGTCTTCTTATATCTTTAGTGTAAGTGTATGTAAACTCTTTAGGATTAGTATTTTTAAATTATGTCTACACTACTCTCTTAGTAGGCTTTAAAATTCTAAGTTATGCTTATGCTTTAATGCTATAAGCTCTTTAACTCTCTTATTTAGCATCTACTAGTCTAGTGCTCTATCTAGATAGACATAGAAGCAGTCCTTTAGTGCATAGATGTGTCTATATACAGGATATTTAGTGCCTTTTATTTTAGCAGGTTTCTAGCTTAAAGATAACTTCCTATTATCTTCTTAATAATATTAATGTTAAGGTCTACTCTGTTTTCTTAACATTACAACTTCTGCACTACAGGCGTCTTTATTTGTGCTTTAGGTAGTCTTTCTACTTTTAGTAAAGTATAATAAGTTATTTATTATAAAGGCAGCTTTATGCTTTTTTATATGTATTAGATAATTTAACATTATATGTTTTTAAAAGCGCTTTATTATTTCTTTTTAATTTATGTTTAGTGTAAACTATCTACTTTTCTAAAAGGTTGTAGACTAATAAGGGGCAACTTTATTTATAGTAGTTAGAAAGTCCTTTGCTACAGCATTAAACTGCGTTGTTTTTAGAACATTTTGTGTCTCTGCTTCTGTAGCAGCGTAGTCATACTCTGCTAGCTACAGGTCTTATATGCTTGTGTTTCTTAGCAGCTTTAGGGATGCATTATATTAGTTACACACGCATTTTTATTTAAATTAGTTGTTAACACTTACTATAGCTTTAAGGTTTATAATCTACTGTCTAAGTAGTTAATCTAGGGAACAGCATGTACACTGCAGATGCAGGCTAACTATTAACTAGATAAAGACAATAATCTGTTAGAAGCTTAATTGCTCTTTTTTATAATTATGTCTATTACTCTTATACTTGTTAGCCTTAATCTTATAGTATTTAATAGCTTCTTTAAAAGCTCTAACACTGCTTATTAATAGCTTATTTAGGTGCGTAGGCGTTTTAATGTTAGAGGCTAGTAAAAACTTAGCTATTAGCAGCATCTCTAGAGCTCTTAGTTTAGAGATTATTTAGATAGTTAACTTAGAATCCACTTGCGGCCAGATGCTGTGCGCTACACATCTTAATTGCAGCTGCATCATCTAGGCTCTGTAGTCAGTGTGGTCTCGAAGGACGACTGTCGCGTCTTAAGGAGGCTGGGTGGCTATTTTGTATTAATAGAGGCACTAAGACTCTTAATTATTAAATTAAAGCACTGTTTCTAGGCTTCCTAAGATAAATAATAAGTTTAGATATAATGTATAGAATAATTAATTAATTATATTAATTGTCTTTATTTATTAATCCTTTTTCTGCTCTACTTGTGTTGCTTAGCTTTTTGTTTTGCTGATCTAAGTCCCTCGCGCACTTGCCCTATGCGCGACTAGCTTGCAAAATGCTGCAATTTGCAGCAACATACTGTTCGAGCTTATTGCTCGTACTATGTAGCAGCTTTTGTCAAGCGTTCCTCCTGTCTTGACAGTAGGTGCGCAAATCTGACAACTATACTTTCTACTTATATTACAAGCCTTAGTTATTAGCTATATATAAAGAAAAGTAACTCTAATTTACTTAAACTTATTAATATAATAAAGTAAAAAACATAGCTTGCGTAGCCTTTTATAATAAAGTAACATTTAAAGTTAGATTAGACACTACACCTCTATATATACATTAGTAGCATAGAAAAGTATATAAGAGTTAGTACCTAAAGCTTACTTTTAAGTCTAAAAGGACTACAGTTTCTATATTTAGTGTAATTTTTCTTAATTTTAAATTAAAGCTGTTTATTAATAAGAAAAGTAAGTGTAATAATGCTAGTAAATACTACTAAATTCTACATAATGTTAGTATCCTATTTTATTAGCAGCTTACAGAGGAACGCGGTATTAGCATATAGATGCAGGATAGAGCACCTATTTACACTGCAAGGCTACTTAAAAGTATATAGATAACTATAGCATAATATAGATAAATTAGCTTCTATAAAGTTCTAATTTAAACCTAATTAAAAACTTTTAGTAGATTATAAAGCTCTATATTTTAAAGTAATAAGAATATATTACTACTTATAAGCAAATAGTAGATATCTTTAAAAAAAAAGTAGGCAAAAATTACACTAGCTAATTATAGAAAGTGTATTCTTAGTTAGCTAAAGCGCATAAAGAAAGTTATCTAAAATAAAGGTAAATTAACTTACTATTAACTAAGCATAGCACTAAAAGACAGGCCTATATATAAGCTTTATATAAAAATAAAAATCTTTAAATTTAGTTAATAATTAACTAAGTAACCTCCTTCCCTAATAGGATAACTATACCCCTGCAGAGCTCGGATTGCTAGGCGGCTAATGACTTTTGGTAGGCGACTGTACAAGCTGCGTTAGGTCAGTCGGGGTAGACTGTAGACGGCCTTCCAGTACTTGTTTGAAACGTAAACGTTTCTGCACATACTCTTGGAAGAATCCCAAGCTGGTGGGCCGTTGTAAATCAAACAGGGACCCTGCTACTTGTGACGTACTCTGTACAGGTGATTAGCTTACGTACCTGGATTCAAGTATGCTTTTAGCTCCTCTTTCTGTTCTAACTTCTTTCTAGGTTTAGAACAGAGAACTACTGGGTTTCTTCACAAATTGAACTTCTTCACTCCGGGGCAGGATACTAGATTCTTCTAGAGTAGCAGGGCGCTGCTCAACTTGCAAGGTTCCGTCGAATACTCCTAGGGGCATGACTCCCATCTCCCCCATAGAAATCGTGGAATATTCGTAACTTGCACTCGTAGCCATGGAACGTGCTGCTAGTTATTCTCACAGAGAAGAGGGCATATATTCTGCCAACTGATTTCTCTTTCCGCGACTCCACAGTATGCATTCACTTTATTTTGTTTAGCATTTATTCTTTACTTGTTTCTACTCTCTTAGTACAGTGTATTTCACACATTCATTTCTTGCGTTGATTACAATTAACTGTTTAGTAGCTAGCGCCCCTCATTCACAATTGGCAAGCCGTGACTCTACTTGCACTACGAAATCACAACGTAAATCGTGGTAAGAAATTAACACCTTCCCTTAAGAGTTCGCTAGCAGTGGTGGCAGGACTACTCTCACCAATGCTAACAAGGCCACCTACATTAAAGCTAAGCTTTGCCTCATGAATTCCCTAGCAAAGGGCCTTGTTGCAGACGCAGTCTCGGGATGGGACGATCTTACCTGGACACATTTGAATCAGTCAAACTACATCCACCACGTGGGCTAATTTCTTCCGTCACATCAACACTTCATGTATACACACGAGTATCTTTTAAAAACTGAATATAACTATACAGGTACTCAGCCGTACTGAGACGAAGAAGCCAACTCGGACCACTTCGTCGATGCAGATGCCCTCGATCCCGATACTAGTTTCGGCGGCAATGGTGTCTCTATGAAAACTAGTGACTACGCTTGCATTACCGACGGTCTGTTCGTAAACATGACATTAGATATTGGCCCAAAGTACACCAAGACGAACTATTGCAGCTATCGCGAGTTCAGCGCAAGTTCTTTCATGTGGGCGAATTCCACGTATCTCGACTAATGCATGGCTGAGGAGAAATACACGCCCGCATTCCCCTGCTTCTCTTCCTGGCCCCATACACCTGGCTACGCTGGTGTAGGTGGGTAGGTCGGTCTGTCTTCTTTCTCAGGACCAGCTCACACTCTTACTAATCCTTTCAGATGTTGGATATTGTAGCAAGCCCTGGAGAGCCCCTCTTTTTCCTCTACCACACGAATCTCAACCGACTCTAGTGGGTATGGAAGTCTAAGAACCGTACCACACGCCTGACTGATATGGGTGGATAAAACATCCCTGACAATGGTTATTTGATCTCAATGGATATGCCGTGCCCAGACTCGTCTTTAGCAAATTACTCTGGTCATCCTGGAGATGTTACCACGCTCACACATGTCCTCTAGATGGTGGATCTAGTTCTGAATGTTACGGTGGGCTACGTCATGGATATTGGTGGGGACTTGCTTTGCTTCGAGTATGTCCAAGTCTCTCTTCTGAAGATATAAGACACTTGGGCTGGTATCATTTTCCCGCTAGATTCTATGTATGTATGGAGAGTATGTTTGTATGATGGAGAAGTAAACGCCATACTGTACATGTTCTAGGTGTCATTTAACATCATACTTAGTGTACATAGGTTCAGCGCCATCCGCATGTCCTTGGAGTAGCCTAACCCAACCTATTGAAAGATTGTATTGGCCGCAATGGAAATTGAATTGCACAACTCACTCGTTGAGGACTCGCTTTGTGGTGCGAGTATCTCATAGATGCAAAGTGAATCCCAATTAGCTTACGCACCGAAATCAGCCTCAACACTTGCATATTCCTTGCCCGCGCATTCAAAGGCGAACACTAATCGAGCTCCTTCAACCTTCACCAGGAGCTTATAGTTGAGTTTCAAGTGAGGACCGTCGCGCCCAGAAACTTTCTTGAATTGGTCTTTGGGTATGTCGCTGAGATCGACACGGAGTTTAGAATTACGTTGGACGGCTAGAAGATATAAATCAGCACAGGGTTTCGATGACACAGGAGCGAAGACACACATTTCCCCGGGTATTTGGGAGCTCTGTCTGATGCGCACATCATCAGTTCAGTGTAAATGATGTAATCGTCATCATCCATATCTAGGTCGAACGTTCGGTAGAACGGATGCGTAATAGCTCGGTCGCGCTCGAGGTCATCCCCCTAGAATGGGTTAGTCCCTCTGCCAATCTAGTAGCAGTCAAGTATCCATTGACAAACCTTGTTGATGAACCAGGTCATCTTGTCTACGCGGTATATGCTCTCGTGGGTGTCCCACACCTTTGGTTGGCCTGAATGTTCATCTTCTTCCCATATAGATCGAGACTCCACGCCGTAGTGGGTCTCTGCAACGCTGGATAGAACTGCGACTTGACGGGGGAGTTTGCTCAGCGCCGCTCCTCTAAAGGTTGAACGTGTGAGTAACAAAATACTTTGCGCCACAAGTCTCGGCGTTATACTTACTTTACAATAGCGGACCAACTTCCCTTTCTGTTAGCTTTGTGAATAAAGATGCCTTTTGATGGGACCAGGGCTTCCAACGAGGCGTAGTACTGTACGATTGGGCGATTTTGAGGCCTGTACGGGTGAGATTTTGGGTACGTTCGTACGACAGGGAGGAGGAGAGGTAGGTGTACGTATCGTAACTGTTACGGCTCACGTGATCTGTACGAGTAGTACGATTCGATTAAAGTACGCCGTACTCTAGTCGAAACGGCTGAGATTATAGGTCTCTAGAGACGCAAGATTAAGGTCTAATTAACCATAAGATAACTAATTCTCCCTAGTAACAAGAGCAGAGAGGTCTAAAAGCTTGCTGCTCACTACCTTGTGCTATAGCTAGTTCTTCTAGAGTTAAATAGCCTTAATTGTCGCACTTTTTAGTAAGCCTTAATTGTCAGTTACTGTACAACTAGCTGCGCTAAAACACCTCTCACACTTGCAACTAGTAGCTAGGATAGTAAGGAAATTAAGGGCAATCTTAAAGAGGATAGGATAGGCTGTTTTGCCTCTAGTAAGCCACTATTATAGGGGTTCTCTGTGTAGTGAGAGGTGATCTTTGTAGTAATTAGCTCTTATAGAGTTATAGTAGAGCTGCAGCTTATTTAACGCCTTCTTACACTTATGTAAGCGCTAATTTATTATAAGAGAGAGGTTAACAGAGAGGCAAGCCTTGTAATTGTTGTTGTAATAGTCACCACCTAGTAGCTTACAACGCCTAGGAGATAATAGCTTATCTTTAACCTTATGCTTATCCTTAGCATTTAAATACTAGTTAAAGATTGTCTCTATTAACCTAGTTACCTTATCTACCTAGCTCTTGTAATGCTGCTAGTAATCTTAAAACTAAAGTAAGCATAATTAAGAGTTAAGGATAGTAGCAACTATGTAGTATAAGACTAGCAGATTAAGGATTAGTTTACCCTAGTAAGTAGTAAGCTTTTAATAGCTAAACTTAATAGCGTTTTTAAGGTACAAGTTGCTTAGCTTGTTAGCAGTAATTACTCTTATTTAATTAAGGTAGATTTAGAGGCACTAAAGCTCTGTTATAGTCCTCTATAGTAAGCTAGATAAGCCCTAGCCCTTAAGTCTTTTTATTATTTAATAGAACTTCTCTAAAAAGTCCTTAAGGCGCTTAATCTTATTCTAATTATCTTTAGTAATAAGATCTGCTAGGGCATTAAAGCTAGCTTGTTAAGTCTCCTTATTAGCATTAAAAGAGCCTCTTTATTACTGTTAGAAGCAACTAATAGCCTCTCTAAGCTTGTAACAGCGTAATAGCATAAGGTAAACTAAGTGCTAGCGTACTCTGCCATCGCGCACTAGATTAAGCGTGCTGAACTGCTAAATTAAGTCCTCCTTTATAATGTTAATTTAGAGAGTCTTAAAAAGCCTTATGCGCTTATGTAATGCTAGCATGCTGTTTACAAAGTTATAGAGTTGTCTAACAACTCTACGCTTTCTGTATAGCTTAAATTAATCGCGTAGAGCAGCTCTAGCAAGCTCCTGCTTAAATTTTATAACGCCTTTGCTGTATATAATAGCTTTAACAACTACCTAGATTATATAGGCAGCGCAGCAGATTTAGTGCTGTCTATTAAGCTTGTACAGCAGGTTAAGCTTCTTATTAAGGCTTTAGATAAGCTTATTGTTATTATTTAACGTGTTATCTCTAACAAAGCAGCTAAATTTTAACGCAATATTGTACTTATTAATAACAGCAGCTATCTTAGAGGCTTGCGCACTGCTAGTATAGTTACTGTATAGGTTTTTAAAGCTAATTAAGAGGTCTTGCTAAGCGTGTAAGGCATCTGGCTATTGTTAGTTACAGAGTTCTCACAATAGTGGCCTGTGCGCGCATACTAACAAAGTGAGCAACTACTGCAAGGAAGGAAAAGTAGTTTCTAGAACACTATATATCTACGCTTAGCGCAATTTTTAACAGCGTAGTAATTAGTATTATTTAAATCTCCTTCTTTTGCTGCATAAGTGCAGTGTGGATATCCTTAGAGAGCGTGGTGGTAGAATGTAGTAGGGCAGCAAGAAGATCTATGCAATTTTAGCTAATAAGACTACAGGTCTCTAATAAAATAGCCTTTTTAAACAACTAATCCTGCACTATAACCTAGTTAACTAGGGCACTGCGCAGAGGACCCTCCTGCTATGGTGTATGAGATAACCCCCGCGACAAGCCTGCTGCTCCTCTAGCTGCCTCCCATGGGTGCTGCGGTAGCTGTACGCTATTAGGTAAGAGCTCTCCATTAACGTTAACTTTATGCTCCCTTAGTAGGTGCTGAACAATATAGTTATAGCCATCCACCACCTTTGCAGCGCCTCGAGAGCCCTGCTCATGACACTGACGGCAGAGCCAGAGGCGGATTACCTTGCCCTGCTCCTCTAGGAGCGTTATATCCGCGCCATGAGCCCACACCTTTAACGGCGTACAATTGCCTTGCAAGGTAGTCTTGTTCTTTACTTAGTAACCTAATTGCGCTAAGGGCAACGCCTGTTTTAAGTCTAATAGCTATATATTATTCTAATTAATTGTAAACTTAACGCTAGCGTTATAATTGCGGTCCTCTAGGAACTGCTGCGATTAATCTTTAGCCACAGACAGTGTACTATCGCGGGATGAGGCAGGAGACGCAGTGTAGAGGGCTTTCGACTTCTGCAGCCTACGAGACTGCGCAAAATGGACAACGGAGGGATCTAATTGACTAGATGAGGCCTGTAAGGCGGCAAGACGCGTAGATAGATAACTCTGCAATGGAAAATAGTCTGTAATAGGCATTTTTGAGACAACAGACCGCAGATGGATAGATTAAACCCCTTAGAAAGAGATTTGAGCGCCCTTGCGAAACTTTCAGCTAATCAGAGCTCTAGAAGCTCTCCCCGCAGACCTCCTGCTCACCAGAGTCCTCCTACTCCTCCAGAATCGCTATAAAAACTTCCTAAAAGGGTAATACGATCCGTACTACGTACCGTACCTAGGGCATCATTAACCGTACGGTGCGGCTCACGAACTCAGTACGTTCGTACTGAACACGTGACCGTTACGGTTCACTTTGTACGGACCGTAGTACGGCCCGTTGGAAGCCCTGGATGGGACTTCACTTACGCGCCATTAGGCTGGATGACCTGTGTTCCTGTGTGCGTTGCCGCTAGATTTTCCTTGAGGTAGAGGCTCTCTCCAAAGCCTCCAACCAGAAATATCGCCTAAGCATATCATTGTCAACTACCCAGTTGAAGTCAAAATAATGGTGGCGGGGAAATATACTTTGATTGCTGCGCCCTTTGGATGACCAGACGACATGCGCTTGAGGCGAACCTCGTTCACCTGGTGAGTTACCAACTTGTCAATCTCCTCAAAGACTGGTTGAAATATGTCTTCCATGTCGGGGCTATATAAATCGATAAGTGGCTAGGAACTTCTAAGGTTGTCGCACAACGAAGAACTTACACAGAGAGTGTCAATGTATTCGACTTGATTCCTTTGGACGAGTTGTCTTTAATCTTCGCCATTGGGAAATTGACGTATGCAGTCTCGTCATTCTTTCCCCGGAAAGATGGCTTGATGGTCTCATCAAAGTCTTTCATAGCTCGACGATATGCATCTGTTTCTTTGAGATCGAGGAACGTGCGTTCACCCACCATGTCCTTAACCCAGTTCTCAAATCTCTTGTTAATCATCAATGACCCTGCAATACCGCCTATAATATTTAAGTTTACCGACGTTAGATGCAATGTTTAACGAACTTACCAGTGGACGGAACCAGTTCCTTTAGCTCCAAAGGATCAAGATTGAGTATCTCGTAGGAAACAAGATCAACAGTACCACCTCCTGCATCGCAAATCGTGATAGCGTCCCCTACCTATGCATTTCATTAATCAAAATTTGAGCAAAAGATGATCGTAAAGCCCTTACCTCCATGCCCTGATGCTTGAGGTAGTGCAGTGTGTACATTGCGGCAGCCTCAGGCTCTTTGATTAACTCAATCGGTGAGATCCCCGCATTACGGGCTGCCTGCGCAGGGCATATTAGTATCCAGGCTCCAATAGGCTTAGATATAAGAGGGCCATACTCGAAGCGTGGCATCCTTTGCCTTATCTGACCAAACAGCCGGCACAGAGAGTACAAAGTACTTGTCCAGCATATCAAGATATGCTTTCGGCACCTTCCCATAAATCACCTTCAGTGCATGTTTGTAAATTGCAGCAATGTAATCGCTTGCAATATCTGCCGGGGGTTTTCCTAACTTCGCAATTTCAGCTTTCGTTGCTGCAGCCCCGGCGGTGTCGAAAAGGGGTCGTTTCTGATCGGGATCGAGGAGCAACTTGATGCCAACAATTTTTTCTTCCGCAGTACGATCGAGCTCATAACCCCACTTGAATTCATTTCTATTCTGGTACTTCAGGACTGTAGGTGCCTTTGGTACTGTCTTGGAGCTTCCAGGCCACTCAGTTACGCAGTGAACTTCGTCAGGTTTAGAGGAAAACGCGTACGCGATTCTAATTTAACATTTAAGGCTTAGTACAGGTCGTATAGGGGAACTAAGACATACCCGCTGTACGTTGTGCCGAAGTCAAGTGCGATCACCATCCGATCAGAGTCATCGTCTCCCAGGAGGCTCATCTTGCTTAGTGCTTCCGATAGCCGATCCTTGGTCCGCGAATCCATGTCTATGATTTGCACAAAGAAAGAGAACTCAAAGTGCGTGCGGTAGCGGGAGATTGATAAAGTAATGGCTTGCTCTCGTTGCGGTCAGAGGTTCAAATATATTGCATCTGTGATATTCGCAGGCTCGTGCTAGAAGGACCGCATCCTGCACAACAAAGGATATTTGGGATCGTTTCCACAGCCGCAGCGCCTGCTCAAGCCTTCCGAGTGTCATAAGTAGCTAAATCCGCGGAAGCGCATGGACTAAGGAGTAAAGGAAACTACTCTCGGGAGATACACACACCATGTACAGTGGCTCTCCAGGATGGACCAATCCGAATAGGCTTGTGCCAGAGAACCTCCGTCTAAACTAATCAAAGTTCGAGATAGATGAACGAGCCCCAAGGCTGAAATGTGCCAAGATTGTAATCGCCGGAATAAGAAAATGATTGATGCGAACGAGGTACCTTTCGTAATTGCAGCCGCCGGAAAAGGCATGTCCTTATGCACAAATGAGATGTTTGACGCCGCCTCGATAGAAGGCGGGTATTGATGCTTGGCGGAGGAGCCCATTCGTCCATGCTCACGTCCTTCATCTTCCCTGATAGCTAACGTTGGTGGTCCGTGACTGGTGGACACCCTCGAAAACGCATATGAAAGGCTGCGCTTGTCTCGATCTAAACAGGCGGTGAGTATCATGTTGGTGGACTAAGTGGAGACTGTGCCGTCCAAGGTTGAGCAAGAAGCAGCTTCTCATCTCCTTGCTTTCTCTACCTTCGTACAGGCCAAAACATCGCAACTCACAGGAATATCTTGAGGGCCTTCGCGAGTCGGCATCAGTCTAACTTACATCGTCGAAACCATGTCCTCAAGTCAAAGAACCAGAGAGTTCATAGAGAGTTCTTGGCGCCGAAATTCGAACTACGAGATCGGACAAGGAAGGTATAATAGGAGAGCAACAAACTCAAGAGCACTCGGGAGCCAGTACGCCGGTAGAATTTCAGATCCAGATCTCAGCAGGCATGATATTCTAGACGTTTCCATAACAATTCAAGAGGAGCTGGACGCTCACCTACCCTCTTTCCGAAAGGCGCTTGCAGAGGAAGTGCACTCTTCCTTAGAGAAGTATACTCTGACAGCTCATTCCGCAGTAGGAATCCTCCCCTAAGTCGTAAGAACGTTGCTAACCGCTATTGACTCAGCCTAGCACGGATATACTACCCCCAGAGGATGTGGCGAGATTAGCGTCTCAAGACGCTCAGATTGCCAGACTCGAAAAAGATCTTGAAAAGTTGAAATCGGAAAATCTAGCTCTAGGGGAAGATCTCCAGAAAGCTACCAGCGAGAAGAATGCCATTGCGGGGAGATTTCGTATAAGCGATAGTAAGGTTAGAAGGCTGCAAAGTGTGATTCTCGAGAACGGACTTGGACCGTCGGGCCTCGATGACGAAGACATTCAGAGACGGTTTCAGAGGCTCCGATTTGACATCTTGCAACTAGTCAAAAAATATTGCGTAAATCGAAATGCTCACGTCAAGGATCCAAGGTATTCTCGCTTGAGTGACGAGGCGAAAGACTTCTGGGTGATGAAAATGATCGCCCGAGGTCTCCACAAGCACTGCTTCAACGAGAAGACGTATTTCGGATTTGATGCGGACACAGACGCTTACTTGAATCGATTCTATCGCAATTTGTATAGCCATAAATCGGGTATGTATAGAGAATTTAAGCTCTGTTGACTGTTTTGCTAACCAGATCCGAAGTCTCTTTAGAAGACGTGGCGGAATGGCGCGTTCGCACTTGCCTTATTGGAAAGTCTTGGGATACCCAGGGCCTTCAACGGCAGGCTCGAATCGAAGGAATTATAACGGTCATCGCGAATAAGCTCACTCCGTTTATGCCAAGCGGGTGGCTTCCCAGTCTGGACAAAAACAATGCCTCCAAAGACGTGAAAGCTTCGCTCCTTCCAATCTGTGAAAGCGCACTCAATCTGGCTATCATGTTTAGCAGCAGCAAGACTGAGTATGAATGGGCTCAAGGGGGTGACTTGCTGCTTGATCCGAGCCACGTCCAAGTCATCGGCACTGCCGGCTACAAGTCTTTCGTCGACTCTCGAGAGGACTATGTCGTAGCTTTTGGTGGTGTTCTGAAGGGTAGCGGTTTACAGGGAAGATTAGATGACAACCCGGTACATTTGTCTGACACAGAAGTCATCTTAGGCCCTTTCCCTTAGTGTTAAGCAGGAAGATGGGGCTGACATCACGTAATGGGATACTACTTATCACCTTATCAGCAAGCTAGGCTCGTGGGTTTTTATCAAGTTTGTCTCCACTTGTTATTATTCTACACGATTCAAGTTACTCTAGGAGCCTTATTAATTGTTAGATTATTTTCTAGAATCTAAAATTAAACTCTAGATATTATACCTTGTAAAAAGCTAGTTACCGTCTAAATATCGCCTATAAGCTTAGTAGAACGCTTACCACACTTCTACACTAGAATTCTTATATAATTAAATGTATTAACTTTAGTTTTTGTAAGGCCGGAGGTCCCAGAACGGGCTAGTATGGCCTCACATGACCGTGCTTCGTATATAAGCATGAATCCTGACAAGCGAGGCTTGGCAGCGATTCGTCTCTCTTACAATACACTCCTATCTTTCTCCGAAACCTTGCTCTCAGTGCTATCCGTGCTATCTACTATCCCATCTTTACAGTCTGTTGCTTTCCATTCGTAATAAAAGGGAGCTAATTTACTAGACAAAGCCTGTAAAGCAGTAAGACGCGTGGATAGATAATTCTGTAATAGAAAATAGTTTGTAATAGGCATTTTTAAGACAACATACTAGAGATAGATAGATTAAAACCTTTAGAAAGAGATTTAAACGTCCTTGCAAAACTTCTAGCTAATTAGAGCCCTAGAAGCCCCCCTAAACGCTCCCTGCAGGCCTCCTGCTCGCTAGAGCCCTCCTCCTCCTCCAGAATCGCTATACAAACTTCCTAAAAGGGTAATACGATCTGTACTACGTACTGTACCTAGGGCATCATTAAACGTACAGTGCGGCTCACGAACTCGGTACGTTCGTACTGAACATGTGACCGTTACGGTTGACTTTGTACGGACCGTAGTACGGCCCGTTGGAAGCCCTGCGCATTGACTAGAAGTTGGACCTTCCAGGGTTGGGAGTTACAGGGCTATGGACTTCCTATGGGCTTACAGTCCAGGGCAGTAGCAATCGGAAGGAAGTCTGAAAGTACTGATAGCCTCCCTATGACTAGGAAGCTTCTCATGCTACCCTTCCACCAATCCCACAGCCGAGAAAGACTAAATGTTGTCAGAGTATAGAAGTGCACCTGTATTAGAGTAAAGCTAGTGGCACACTTGTAGCAGACGGAAGATATTTTAGTTCTCGATTTCGAACTCAGCAGTGGCTTTCCCGATCGACCGAGTGCTGCAGCCGAAGTTCCAAGCTTTCTTGGGCACAACACTGACGTCCTTCTCGATGTTGACGCGGGTAACCACGTCCCATGAGTGCGTCACTGAGGGAGCTAGTTCTCAACTCAGTGGGGAGACGAGGCTGTGGCGAAGTGACTAGGTAGTCCAACTATGGTCAAGGTCAGTAGATATTTTGCAGTTTTATACTTTGCTCGCTTACACTTATACCATGTCGCGAGACGTCTTTGTGAAATTGAGGAGACCATTCTTGAGGGCGCACATGCGCTTGTGGTGGTCTTTGGCTCCTTATTCTTTAGTGATGCACTTCTTTCAAACAAGTTGCCTGATCGATTGCATTTTCGTGGTGGCATATTTAAGCACCTGAAAGGGCAGGTGGATTCTGAATCCAAGTTGGTTTAGAGTTGGAAAGGTGAGGATGAACTTAACGTCGAAATTAGGGCAACGGCAAGCATATTACGCCTCTGTATTGGGTGGTGCCTCGTGAGGTGGGGCGTAGTAGCATCACTTTGGTCTAACCTTCTAAGGTCCTAAGTTGGAGCTACCGCGAAGTCACATGACCGATCAATTTACTTATCTACACCTGGAACCTCTGTTCCATCAGGATTCCAGTCCTAGAACTGCCCCTTAAAAGCACCACAGTCTCGTTCCGTCCTCCCATCTACCCCAGCGCTCCTTTCCTTTTATTTGGGAAGTGAACTAGGAAGCGAAGGAGGAGCTGTGTTCGGAATGGGTTTCGAATCCATGGGCGATCACCCGTGGATGAAGTAGCGCTAGGGAAGATCCAATCTATATGGTGAATTTGTAGTCGAGGTGGCTGGATAGCACATAACGGCTTCTATTCCTCTCGTATCATAGCCCATTTCTCCTTTTCAAGCAGTCGCAGGGGTAGGTAGTGTTAGTAGCCTAGCAAATACGATGAGCTTAACGTATTGCTTAAGTCTTGATTCCTTTTGGTAGTTAACCCTCATTTCCGGACCTTGGATACAGTACGTACTAACACTACTTACCCTTGCGACTAGAGTAGGCCGGAGCCTCAGCCACCTGAAGCACTTCCTATGGGAACCCACTCGCCCATGGGTAGTCACCAAATGCCAAGCAGCAGTCTGTGCGGTCGAGGAATCAGATACTGCATTTACGCAGCTGCTTTGGGGTGAAGGTAGTAAACTCAGCCAATAAAGCAGCTTATCATTGAACAACTCTACACCTAAACATGACTCTGACCAACCCCAATCCCAGACTCCCATATTATCCTCCATTTCCCCTTCTAACACCCGCCTAAGCCTTCTCATGATCATGGTGTATCCCAACTGTCCTGTCCCCATGAACACTCCCCCTTCTCAGTGTCGGATCGTCATCATAATCCTTATCGAGCGAATTCATCTGATCCTCCGTCGCATTCAAATGATGGAATAGAATCCAGATCAGACATCCCGCAACGAAAGAGCTGACCGCCAATCCGACAAACATCCACTGAATAGCTGGATCATATAGGACGGGATTTAAGGCTTCTGAGATGGCAGAGCCAAAGGCGTTGGTAAGGAGAAACATGGATTGCACGAAGGACTTCATGCTTGGGGGGGCCTTGGTGTAGGCGTACTCGAGGCCAGTGACCGAGGCGAAGATTTCAGAGATGCCGATGAGCATGTAGGCGCCTGTTTGTGCAGCGATGTGAATGTCCTGCAGGCCATGTTATCAACTTGCTTCAAGTGCTATAAGGAAGAGAGCTTGTGGTATGGGCGAGACTTACGTTGCCTTGGAGAGTGCCACTTGCGTCCTTACTTGCGTCGCAAAGTGGGTGCTCATAACACGGCCCTCTCTTGTAGACATAATATTGGATTACAGCAGCATACGCCATGGCTAGAGAGCCAATCCAGAAACCCGTGACAATCCTGTTTATTGGCGGGTAGGGAATTTTAGCTTTCCGGAGCATGGGGTACACGAGGCGGTCCATTACAGGAAGGAAGACCAGGATGGAAATGGAGTCGAAATTCTGCATCAGGTCATTGGGAATTCCATGTCCGCGCATTTGCCCAGCTGAGGTAATTAGCTTGCATAACCTATCCTAGATCGACGGTCGGGTAGCCATACCTTGGGTGACAAAGTTGTTCGAAAAGTTGCCATATACGACCCAATAAATAGGGTAGAAACAAAATACCTGGCAAGCAACCAGAGCGCGCTTCACCTCCTCAACAAAATGGTCATCCCATCGCAAATTTGAGTTCTTCCCCAATGCAGCCTGGTAACTCGGCTTAGCAGCATCCATCTTTCGGTTCTTGACCATCATCCAGAGCACTCGGAACGCATCTGTGATAACACTACCCTGTGGCGGCCTGACTACGTATACCTTCCTCCCGAGCACCAAGACAGTGGTTCCCACAAAGAAGACGCACAAACATAGCAGATACGCCGACCAGAACCCAACATCTCTCTCCATATATGGAGTAGGTAGAAGAGCAAGGGCGCCGACATTGATGCAGAAGTAGAAGATCATGTATATGCGCTGTATGGTGATGCTCGGATCGATGATAACCCGTTCGCCAGTCTTCTTGTCGTGTCCGATGACCATTTGACGGCGTTTGTATTGGTCGGCAATTAAGGGGGCGACATTGGATTTGATGCCTCCGGTTCCGAGGCCGATGACAATGACTGCAGTAACGAAGCCGCCTAGACCGGCGCCATGGGAAAGGGCGGAGGGGATAGATGTGGTGGTGAGGATTAATAGGCCGACGAGATATACCATGCAGAACACAAGAATAGTGTTGTATTTTCCCAAATACTGATCTGCAATGATGGCGCCGAGGATTGGAGTTACTGCGATAAAACATCAATGAGTCATCAAGAATCAGTACCGTAGGAATTGCTTGCCATAGCACCAGAACTGGAAGAAGGTAGTCAACCCGGTGGCGCCTTTATGCCCCATCCCTAGGGCTCCTCTTCCTTCACTTCCATCTAACGGTCTCTGAACATAGTTTTGGAAAATGCCACTCGCACCATAGTACGTAAATCTTTCGCAGAGCTCTACAATGGCAACTAGGAAAGCAGCTTTCGGCAGAGGTTCTCCAACATGCCTGAGCGTTCTCTTTTCCTCTTCGGTGGGCCTCTCTCCGCCGAGCTGATCTTCGTCTTCTTGAGAGACGATTTCCTTGTCTGAAGGGGTGGGAGTGGAAATTCCTTCCTGGATTTTCTCGTCGAGAGGGGCACCAGATATGTCGGTCATTTTATTGGACTTGTCGGGGAGGTCGAGGACCTGGTGCAGCCTGCACGTGCAATTAGAAACCCGTCACGACACATTCGAACTGACGGCAGAAGGGAGGGGCAAATTCACTGAGCTGCGTTTAATTCATGATCCCCGGACATTTTAGCCGTCGAAAACCACAGTATTCCGTGGAATCAAAGAGCGGAACAGACGTAAAACGAGGGCGTTTTCTGTCTCTCCCCCCAGCGGATCCTTCCCTTTATCTATGGTCCTCAATACGCAGTCCTACCCCTCCCATCCCCCAGGAGTGCACGCCCAGCTCAGCTTCCCTGCCATGGCCGATGTAACATATCTTGAAGCGTCCAAACAGGGAGCGCAAAAGGACAAGCGACAAGGAACTCCGGGGGTTGCCAAACCCAGCAAAGCAATCACAAGCCTTGACTGCAGCGTGCTTGGCGGCTTATTTTTTTCCGCCGACGTCACGGATCGACGGGGGGCTTGCATGTGTGGATGTGCGACCCGATTGGCACGCTCGTCTAACTACCTGCTAGATCCGGGAGTAAAACGTGCTGATCACACGTTCGCTGTACGGAAACACTCTGTGGTAAATTTATCGTAGATGCCGAGTGCCGTCCGACTCACCCTCATTCACCACATAGACAGATGAAACTACTCCCGTTCTGCCTCTTCCGCATCATCAATCAGCAACGTTTGGCTGCTGCCCGCATCGAGAGTGCTCGTACATGTACAACCCCACATTACGCAGTTGAATCAAGGCCTTGCTGTTTGATGGAGAGCAACCAACCACCTAGGGTGACGTATCGTGATCGAGAATCAGCCAGACGCCCGCAGCTCTGGACACATAGATAGGAGCATTGCCGAAGCTCCTGACGTTCTTCGAAAAGTCTTCACAATTTCCACTTCCAGATAGCAGACGGCAGGCTTGTGAGACAGCCCTACAGATACACCGAAGTAGAGGTTACAGTAGTAGTGCTCGCCCGCCCCCGAGACGATGAGCTCACTTCTCCGACCCACCTAATCCCTTTTCACGCCACCAGTAGTTCTCCTGGCATTACGGCCTGATGTTCGTTCCGCGCAAGTTCTGATCTGCGGAACCGACCGTCTACCGACCATACAACGTTCCAGTTAGTCTCTAGACATCACCGCTACACTGAATCGCGCAAACGCTTGCCACGTGCTGACTCACACTCCCGTGTCTTCGGACGCTCCAAGCCTCATGAGAGATACACACTTTCTCCAAACGGGCAGCTGCAACCTTTGTGGCAGGTAATTGTGTGTGGTACATTTACGACACAACCACCCCATCCAATAGTGCAAAGTCGAGTAAATCCGTCCAGACTCTGATCTGAATCTCGAAGCATCCAAATGCAATCCTAGCCAGCACGCAAAAACCACTAACAGACGCCTCCACACGACGAATTCCCATTTCGAAAGCCTACCCAATCCCGCGCAGAAGAGTTGTAGCAGAGTCCTTAAGCCAACACCAGCGTACCTTGCCCTACCATTGAATCTTACAGATGCATCAAAATCCTATCATCCTACCGTTAAACCCAGACCACAAAATCAACTCCCCGAAGAGGTCGCCTTAAGAGAAACCCTGCCGATCCCATATCCACCTGCCAAAAAGAGTAATAAATATGCGAGGCTGACATACCTCTCTGGTTAAGGTTAAGTGATGTACATGAACATTCCACCATCAGCAATGGGAGCGTGATCAGATGACCCGCACATGCACTCGAGTAAGTAAGCTACTATTTAGTTCAACTGCCTCGTTGGACCACATTCATCCATTCACATATTGAATGTGGCGAGTTCTGACTTGAAAAGCCAGATTGACTGCAAATACGTCGCAATCTGCCATTCCATTTTATTATTACTATTTCTGGAACAAGGATGGTTGTCAGCACCCTATCTCATCCCGACCCAACAACCCTCACGAACGCTACCATGTCAACACAAACCCCGAAATCATGGTTTTGAATGAACCTAATATTAGATGCATATATAGGCGCATAGAAATAGCATATAACTACCCAGAAGGCAACAAAAGAAAAGCTTTCATTGATAATAATTCGAAGAGCGCAGGATTTTGCATATCATAGCCTCGCCTGGCAAGGCTGGGTGTTTGGCAGCTGGGTAGCCAACCTATCCAGCCAACAATATAATAATACAATTTCCGTAACCCAATCCCAAGAAAGAATAAAAGCCCACAGCTTTGTTTTGGCCATCGTCACAAATTTACTTCCCAATGCCACCAACAGCAGCAGCAGCAGCAGCAGCAGCAGCAGCACTACTACACCCCTGAGCTGCTGGCGTACAGCACTGTCTCCCATCCCCACAATCGTCGCCACATTCCAACAAACACGCTTCCACCTGCTGCCCTTGCTGTTGATGCTGATACTGACTACCACTCCTCACGCTCCCATTTTTACTATTCCTGCCCGAACTTCGCCGACTCCCGGTCCCAGTGCCAGTGCCAGGCCCCACTTCCGCGTTTTCCTCATCGCAACTACTCTCATCCGAACTCCCGCCACGCGAATGATCGTGATTAGAATCGAGGCAAAACTCTGGTTGGATAGTCGAAGAATGGATACCATATTCATGCAGACATTTTCTAATGTCGCGGGCCAGGTCCATGTATCGTGCTGAGCCTTCGCCTTTGAAGTCGAAGTCGACTTCGACATGTAAACTTGCGATGAGCTTTGTGTCCGAGAGCTGCCATACGTGGAGGTGGTGGCAGGAGATGATGCCGTCGAGGTCTGTGATATCGTCTTTGATGTCGTCGATGGAGAGGCCTGCCGGAACGGCTTGCAGGAGGATGCGGGACGCGGCTTTGCAGAGAGGGATGGCTGAGAGGAGGATGATGATTGTGATGATGAGGGAAACAAGGGGATCGGAATAGAAGCGCCAGGAGAAGTCTGTCAGCCAGATGAAGAGCGCGGTGCCGATGACACCGATGTTACCTAGAGCGTCACCCATGACGTGCAGGAAGACGCCACGCATATTCAGGTCTCCGTGGGAATGGCTGTGGCCGCCGCCTTTCTTTTCTTCCTTGGGTTGGCTGTGTTTGTGGTCGTTGTCACATCCAGATATTTTCGGAGATGCGGTTTGATATTCCAAATTCTTGCACTTTGCCTTCTGCAACAACGGTGAGGATTCAGTGGTTTCGCCATTCTCCTCGACCACTGCATTCTCGTTATCAGTCTCCGACTCCGAATTGTCTTGCTCTTCCGAATTGTCTTGCTCTTCCGAATTGTCTTGCTCTTCCGAATTGTCTTGCTCTATTCTTGAAGCCTCAATAATCCCATTCCTGAAAGATGATGGATGAACGTAGATCTCTTCCAAGCTCGAATATCCTCTTGATCGTGATCGATTATGCTTCCTCGCGATCCTCTTGCCAGATGCCGACTTGCGGGGTGTCCTGTCGCCAGCAGGCGACGAAACATTCCACGAGACATCCTTCGCTTTAGACTTGGTCTGCTCCTCCGGTCCATTTGAGATCCCGGACGGGAAGTTGCCGACACGGCTTTGAGGCAGCACATCCGCAACATTTCCATTCTCATCCGCAATGGTGTGATCGCCCGAATCGACACCATGAGCATGGCCCTCCTCCGCAGCCTTGATACCATCTCTATGTCCATGCGAATGGCCCCCGTGGCTGTGCCCGTGGCTGTGTCCGTGATCGTGAAAGAGGAAGAGCCCCACGATATTGGACGCCAGGCCGAACCAACCGACGAAAAGGACCAGTTTTGGATGTGAGACCTCCTGCGGCTCGACGAATCGCTGGATGGCTTCGAGGAAGATGGAGAGGCAGAGGGCGACGAGGAATACGCCATTAATGAGGGCGCCTAGGGTTTCGGCTCGCTGCCACTATGCATTGTTAGGATGGGCTGGTTGAGAGGGGCTGGACAAGGTGTGACGTACTCCGTAGGTGTACATCTTTGAGTTGGTCTTCTGGTTGGCGACCTTGACAGCCCATAAGCCCACTAGTAGTGATATCACATCGTTCAACTGGCGGAGGAGTTAGTATCAACTTCGTGGGCTGCTATCAGGCGCTGACAAACCATGTGAAAGGAGTCGGCCACAAGGGCAAGAGAGTGGACGGCATAACCTGCAAATGTGCGTTAGAGATGCTCCAGAAAGTGCTGATAATGAAATACTTGCCAACTACAAGTTCCAGCAAGAAAAACGCCGAATCAATGGCTAGCAGGATAAGGATCTTGTTCGACTTGGAAAGGCCCATGGCGGAGGGATCGGAATGGGCGCCACAGAAGTTGTGGTATTGAATGAATTCAGCAGCCCCCAGGCCGCGTCTTCAAGGAGCGACTTCAGAAACACTAGAGGTTGCAAGCCGTAATAATGGCAGAGGATGGCCGTAGAAGGGGGCTGGAGAGTGAAGAGTGCAAGTCGCGGTGTGGTTGACGGCGATAAAAGCCGAAAGTGGCGCGCATGGAATCCGCAAGCTCAATGTCGTCAAAGCGCCCCAAACTAGCGTAAAAACGGGTTAGTTAGTTAACGCGAGTGATAAACAACCATCCTCTGACACTGGAAGGAGAGAGCAGGCAGACTTGATATCGAACCTGCGATCGCGTGAGACAAATACCCATTCACGTGTTCGTGTGCAACCCCACAAATTCACCCTGAGCCGGAGGACAAGTCCCACAAGCAGAAACTCCGCTGCAGCCGAAGAAGCCGCATTTGCATTGCATATCGTTTTGCCTCTGTGTGCGCTCCCAAACGCTGGCCTGGTCTACGCTTGTGCACCTGCATCCTGTCCAATGGGATGTTGCCTGGAGAGGGACAGCTTTCATTCCTTCTTCTTCGCTTTATACCTTTTCATCATGAACCGCACTGCATTCGTTAACATGTTCCAAATTTGTACATTGCCTTCAGAAGGAGAGCTGAACAGAGCCTATTCTAAAATTTGTCTATTTAGCTAGCCCTTGGCGCAGATCTCCTCTCTAGCGGCCAATTCGATATGTGGATTGACATCTAACCAAGGCAACCACTATTTGTTCTCGACGCACCTAATGTCAAAGCGCCAAGGTCTTCGGCTTTGATGTTAGTGGTCAACGAAGTATGTGTATGCATATCGTCTCTTCGTACGACGTTACTCAAGCAAAGGGACCACCTCGTTACGCCCTCGTGCTCACCCCTATAATACGCGTCCAGGGCTTGGGTTTTGGATCCGATTGACTAGCATCCCGTTAATCCATTAGGATATTCATACCACAGCCAGTCCCATCATAACTCGAAAACCTGTGTTGCTTCACTCGTCTCAAAAGCAGGCAACCGCATCTGGACCTCCAGCTCATCGCATGCATTGATACGCCGAGATCTTTGACTCTGAATCCGGTTGACCCACCCCGCATCACGGTATCCTTGTGGCACGGTCTGCAACACATATTCGTGCAACCCAACAACACTCAAGGTGACGACTTCCCCGCTCAAGCCTGTCAGATCTGGCGTTCCATTCTCTTCACAATCTTCCCCTCTCCATGCATTCCCTTCCCACCTTCATAAACTCCCTCTCTCCTTCCCCTGCCCATTCAGATCCGCCGGAATTTTTCTCCACAATTCCACAAAAAACTCCCTTGTCTCCCAAATCGGCAAGACGGTCGATATGAAGCCAGAGCAGAAGACCCAGATGAACGACACCACCACACACCCAGTGAAAAATCCCTTGGAGAAAATATAATGACTAAAAAACATCAGCATCGAGGTTAGGAAATCCATAATGAAGGTAAGAATGAAAGAGACCCAGCAAGCAAGGATAAAGGCACCGCGAAGTGACTTGCGGTCATCCGTGGCGCCGATTTCGATGCGCAGGGCTTTCTCTTCGGCTTGGACTGTTTGGAGGTGATCGTGGTCGGGTTTTGCAGGTATATTTGTTGTTTTCTATGGTGGAGCTTCCGTTGTCATTTTCTTCTCCTCTGCACTGCCCCAATCTCTTGCATGTTCAGACGCCGAAGGCATAGAATCCTAACCAAAAGGCCCTTGCCCCTCGACTGCAGTCGCATTAATTGCCCTCGTAATCTCCCAATTAAACTGTTCCGGCTTAACGAGCGAGACACACAAGCTGACAATCAAGCCCGTATTGTCGCCGCGAGATTTCCGGCAAGGGTAGGATATTCAAGACCAGTAGTTGCAACTGTGACTTCCCCATAATAGTGTTTGGCGGTGGTAAGCCAGGCGATGAGGCCGGCAGCTAGCACGGTTAGACAGCCTGAGAGCGCACCGATGCAGGTTTGTCCGCGCCAGTTGATGGCGAAGGCGGTTGGAAAGACGGCGCCACCGATTAGGAGGCCCATTACCCTATTCGCCATGCCATGTTAGCTCCCTTGATCTATCTATCCGTCCCGAAAACAAGGAATCTCTAGCAATACGAGGGAAGAGAAGAGAAGAGAAGAGAAGAGAAGGGTAAGATAAACCCACAAAAACAACCACCCCAAATTAATACTCGCCGCATTCCAAATACAAGCAAACACCACCATCGTGACCCCAAACACACAAATCATAACATGGCTCACAAAAATCAATTGCTTCGCCGTAGCTTTAGGTTGAATATACGCTTTATATACATCAAACGTTAGCAGCGAACTCACCGCAATCAACTCCGCACTCGCGCAACTGGTAACAGCCATTAACAGCACAATAAGCAAAGCAACTGCTCCTCCCTGCCCAAGCAGCGTCGACGTGGCATATGCAGCTGTCAGTCCAGAGGAAGTCTCCGTAGGAGTGGGTGCATTGGGGTACGTTGGGAAGCGGGGATTATCCGTCAGCGCGGCAGCCGTGAGACCCATGGTTGTCGCGAAGCCGAAAAGGATAGCGAATCATGCTAGACCGCCTAAGATGTAGGCTTTCACGGCTGTTGTGGGGCGGGAAGCAACTGCGCGTTGCCAGTATGCTTGGTCGAGGAAAACGGTGCCGGAGCCAGAGCAGAGTTGAATGACGCCGAAGACGAGGCCGAAGTTAGATTTGAGGGTTAGGTAAGAGCCGTCTTCGTTTCCGGCGATGGGTCGCTGGGTTGTGGCTTTTTCGAGCAGGTCGTACATAGAGCCTGGGAAACCGATGAGGTCGTTTGTGGCGTAGGCGTTGAACATGAAGTAGAGCATTATTATCATTAGGATCAAAGTGTGGGAGTAATCACCTGACTTTGAGTCAGCTATAGTTGTCCATAAGGAGGGAGGGAGTTTCGTACAGAGGAATGTAGCATGAAGGCCGCCGAGGATAACGTATGCGCAAACACCTACCTTGTTGAGCTATGTTGGACATGACAATGGGTTGTATTGCTGACAGGTTAGAATTAGAAAAATTGCTGCATAAATATTCATCTCCGCGAAACTTGTCACCACCGTACTTCCACCTAAAAGCAACTGACTCCCAACCAAAATATTCGTCAAAAACGCAAAAAGCATGAAAACTCTATGTGCAAAACGGCCATATCCAGCATAGATAATTTCCAGGAAAGTATGACACCTTGGCGCATTCTGCTTGACCTTACACGCCAAGATCGAGAACATAAGAATCTGGACTGTTGCTCCCGCGGCGTACCAAAATAGGCCTGCTACGCCGTAAGTGTAGGCCACTGTGGAGGACTGAAGGAGAGTCGCTGCCCTGTCCATGCAGACACAATGCCAGAGGCAATGAGACCAGGCCTTACAGATCGTGAGGCCGTGTTAAATTCTTCGGACTGCTTGGTCGAGCACATTGTACAGCCACGCGTCAAAAGTTTGGTTCGCGAAGCGACGCGTCAGTGCACCACGCCGTCAAATCCTTCATGAAATTACTGGAAATGAAAGAAGACATAAAGAGTTAACCCCTGCTCAGCGCTTGCAAATTATCGCGCAGTCTTAAGCTAGTTGTAGGTTGTCAGAGCTGGCAACTAAGTTTCGCGTCACACCTAAATGTATACGCGACACATTGCGACAATAGAAACTCCACTAAACCGTAGACAACCTACTTTGCTTAGGGCAGCCTAGTAAGCTGTTAGCTTAGGACTGTTGTTAGCTATTTTGCTAGGCTTACAAACGTCTAAAAATTAAGTACAAGGACCTTATCTATAAATTAGGTCTTCTTAACATCTCTAAGAGCACTACCTACCGCGCTCTAAAGCATAAAGGCATTAGATTATTTAGGTGCAAGCGACAACCTCTAATAAACAGAGAAACAGCTTAATTAAGACTACAGTTTAAGCGCTAGTACCAAAACTTTAACTAGGGGCGCACTACTATGCGGTTTTTAGATAAATGTTACGGTCTATGGTTGGACCAGCGTAACTCCACCGGCAGTGCTCCACAATCTAGCCGGGTTGGGACAGGGCTCGCTTAAGAACCAATCGGAGGACGCGGAGGCAGCGCAGCTGCCTGCGATTGCGGAAGAATGCGTCGTCTAGTGAGGAAGCAGGCCGCGAATCCAGGGAGCTTAAGGGAGCTTAAGGGAGCTCGCAGGAGCCTCCTTAGCAAACTCCTATAAACTCCCGCCAGCTCCCCTTAGCGCATTAGGCACATGTATATAGTTCCTACATTAAACAACCTTTAAAAGGTGTATTTAATATTTAGTTTATTCTTTACATTGTAAGGCCGGGATGGCGCTTACGTGTAAGGCCGAGATGGTGCTTACGTACGACGGGTATATATACTATTCTGTACGCAATAATTAACGTTGGTTGATTATTCGCACCTTTTGGTTGTATTAGCGTAGTGGTACAGAGCTCTGTCCTTACATACATAAACTAAGTAGCATTTAGCTTTCTAAAGAGCTATAATACTATTTATATATCTTACACTATATATACCTCTAACCCTGTCTATTAGGACTGTTTAACCCTAGCCTCCCTACTGCTGCACATAGGGCAAACTATAATCTAGTCACTCTACCTCCCTCTATTAGCCTATTAGCCTGTACGTAGGACTGTACACCCTACTAGATTGGCCCCTACCTCCTGTCCTACTCCCCCCCCCCTTAGGAATACTATAAGACCTAAGTGCTTCTTAAAGTAAAAATTATAACATTAAACACTACCCCCTCTAAAAAGTATAGATACCTTACAACATAATTTAGATTCTAATATAGCCTACACTGCGCTATTAAGATCTACAGAAGTTCCTACCTAAAGCAAAGCTGTTCTAGCAGAATAGGTTAACATAATTTAGAACAACATTAGAGAACTCTAGCAGATTAGCAATAAAGTAGGTAAGCTTCTAAAACTTAAGTAAAAAATTACTAACCTTTACTAAGAGATAATAAAATTATAAAACTTTTTTAAACTTTTAAGCCTTTAGAAAGCAACTAACTAAGCCTATTAAATACATAAACTATAAGTAAAGCTAGCAAAAATCTAAAACATCTTAATAAAGAAAGTAAGTATTATAGCTAAAAAGACTTTAAAACTAGCTCTTTTAAAGCCTTTTAAAAGATTATTAAAAGACTTTTAACTATTTTTTATAAAATGTTACCTCTATATATAATATAATAAAAGAGCATTTTAGACTAACACAGAAATAATATTCTAGATAGAACTACACTTAAAAGGCCTTCTTATAATTTAGTTCTAACTCTACGCAGATAACTAGATAAACTTTAGGGTAAACAGTAAAGCGCTTACCTTTAAAACTAAAAAAATACTTAGTAGCATTAAAAACTTTAAAAAAGCCCTAACAGCTATTTATAAGACTTTAGATAAAAAAAAAATTACAGCTAATAAGCTAAACACTATAAAATAAAAAAACAACTTAGTTTAAAATTATACAGCACACTTTAAAGAACAACTAGCTATCTGTAGATAGATAGATTAAAAAGCTCTCTGCTGCATGTTTTATAATAGACTAAGTAAAATAGTAAAAAATAAGTTTATGTATAGTAATAAGCTAACTACTCTTAAAAATTTTATTATATAAGCAACAACCTATAACAACTGCTATAAAGAGTGTAAAAAAGAAAAGAAATAAAAAGAAACTTTTTAAAAACTAGAATTTATTTTTAAGAAAAAAAAGCTTTTATAATATAATAAAAAACTAATAAACCTTAGTTACATAAAGTATATATAAAGCCCCCTTTTTAAGAAAAGCTAAGTTCTAGGACGCAATAAGCTGCTTTTAACAAAAGAACAATAAAAGTAGCTAGAGAACAAGGCCTGCCTAAACTATAAAAAAGTAAGACATTTCTGCTAAAACTGCCTAGACTTTTAGAAGGGGGAGAATAAAAATACTACTATAATAATAAAAGCTATTACTGCTAAATACAGCCTTATAGACAAAGAAATATTAGAAAGATTAAATAATAGACTTTACTAGTAATGCAAAGGTAACTATTTTTTAAATAACTATCTTAAAGCATACTAGAAAGTAGTTATTTAAAATTTTAGTAGCTTTAATATAGTGTTGCAAGACCTTATAATCTTTAAAGAATATAAAAAAGAAACTTAGATCTAAGGATATATTATAAATATCTAAAAAAAAGAAAAACAGTTTCCCCTTTAAGACTAAACCCCTAGCACTTTAGTAAGGAAGCTTTTTTAATAGTTTTAGGAATGCAAATACTAGAAATGCAGTCTATAACATAACTACTTAAGTTATTACATAGTTATGCTTTACTAGATAAATATTAGCAATAACTACCTTACATTTAATATTATACAATGTATAGCTAAAGTTAAATACAACATTATAAATAAATAAAAATAATAGTAGTTTTTTATAAAAATCTAAGACTAAAAACTAAAAGAACTAGGTAAACTTGCTAGGTTTAAAGTCCTAAAGCTAGTACCTAAGAAGCCTAAAACACTACTTCTAAGCCTTGCAATTAGCAAAAAAGCTTTAGTAATGCAATAAAGTTATAGTTAGTGCACACTCTGTAAAAACAAGAACTATAGCACTAATAACTACTAATAGAAAGAGCACCTAATCTAGATAGTACAGACACAGAAGTACTTACAGTAGACTTAGGAGAGCCCTTTTAACATATTACATAGACCTAATAATTATCTATACCCTTAGTACTAGTGCACGCAACAGTATTGCATTAAGCATTAGGATAATAAGCATAGAACAGGCTAGTAGCCTACATAAGAAAAGAACTACAACAGTTGCCTATAGTAAGGAACAGCCTTAGCCTGTAAAACTACAAACTATTACACCTACTAAATAGCGCCCCTACACAAGTAAGAGGGATAGGCAGCATGTAAAAAATAAAACAACTGCAGGTTCTACTATTTTTAGTAAAAGGCAGTAAAAAAAGAAAACTACCTAATGTTATATTACTTAGTTAAAGATTATAAATGTAAAGCAGCTAACTGCTATAATTAAAAACATTAAATTTATAAAAAATAAAAAAATAAGTTTAATAATAACTTATAAAACATTAACTTATATCCTCTTTCTAATAAAAAAGTTAAACATAACATATTAGCAGTAATTATAGTAGGATAAGGGGCAGGACACAGCCTTACAACCACCTTTATATATAAAGGGTGGCCTAGACTAGCCCTTATAGACAGCAGATGTACCTTTACTGCTATAGACAAGGATTAGGTAGACAAATAAGGCATACTATTCTGCATAAAAAAGAACTTATTTAAGGTAACCCTTACTAACACATTATTAATTAAATATAGTAGAGGATAAATTAACCTAAAAACTTATAAAAAAAACTTTAAGACTTCTAACATAAAAGATTAGAGGTTTATAAACATACTTAAGCTAGGGGGTAAATATAATGTAATCCTAGGCTATAACTAGCTTAGAACATATAACTCTGTAATTAATTAGAAAACTATAACTATAAAAACCTCTAATAACTACGCACACATAACCTAGTTAGCATGCTATAATAATTAATACTTAGTCTATAAACAAGCAAAATAGAGTAGTAGTTACTACTCTAAAAAAAGAAAACCTTAGAGATTCCTTTACTAGAAGCTAAAAGCCTAAGTAATAAAAATAATAAAAAAAAAACTTAAGAAAGTCTCTTATAAAAAAATTAAAAAAAATAAGAACATAAAATAAATTAGTGTTATCTAAGTCTAAGAAAAAGGCTACATCCTGCCTAAATATAAAGACTATAAGGACATGTTTAAGACACTAGAGGATCCTAGAGAACTACTACTACACTAGCCTTAAAATTATGCTATTAACTTAATAAAAGAACTTAACCTAAAAACTTATAAGCTCTGTTCTTTAACAAAGACATAAAAAAAAGCCTTATAAGAATACATTAATAAGATGTTAGTGTAAGGCTATATTAAAAAAAGCTATAGCCTAGTAGCCTTAGCTATAGTTTTTATAAAAAAAAAAAAAGAAAAAATCTAAGTCTATTAGGACTATAAAACTCTAAATAATAATATAATCTAAAATTAGTTTTCTCTACTAATTATATAAGACATTATAAACTAATTAAAAGGAACCTAGTATTTTACAAAGTTTAACATATAAGACAGATTTAACAAGATAAGAATATAGAAGGGAGATAAGTAGCTTATAGCGTTTAGAACTTTATAGAGACTTTATAAACTACTAGTAATGCTGTTTAGCCTAATAAATGCCCTAGTAATGTTCTAGTAAATTATTAACACAGCCCTTAATCTATATCTTAATGTCTTTACATTAGTGTATTTAGATGACGTTCTTATCTATTTAAAAGATACCCTAGAAGACTATGTACAGAAGGTACAAAAAGTTTTAAAACAGCTTAGAAAGTACAGACTCTACCTAT